TTTTTTTTTTTTTTTTTTTTGAATTTTGCGATTGGTAGCAAAAGTGTCTTGAAATCAGAAAATGCAACGCCCAAGTAAATTGCCTTTAACGGAAGAGGTTAAGACGGAAAAGCCAGCTTTTTATTTAGTGTCTCAGGCGAAGCGACTATATACGACATTGATTTTGAAAGTTGATGACGTATCGAATAAATTGTTACGGAAGGTAGAAACTTTTTCTTAAAATTTTCTTAACATCTATAACCGCGATCCTGGTTCTCTTTGCACGTGATACGGATAATGAATAGGTTTAGAGATTTGAAGCGTTGAGCAAAATGTAACGTTGCAACTGGTTCCAAAATTACTATTTTTTGATTACCTTGTAGTCAAAATTGAGATTTTTAGAAACACAGGTTTTTTGGCTCTTTATATATGAATTCTTTGAAGTGTGTTTGTAAAAACGTAAATTTTTATGGAAGGTTTGCTAAGCTTTTTTTTGCAAACTTGTTTTTTATGGAAGGAAGTCTTGAGGGATCTTAAATGTGGGAAAAAAATTAGGACAAGGATCGTTGAACACCGTCTGCAAAGAAAACAATAATCATTTATGAAGAGCATTTACTGATCTTAACAAGTCAAAAATTACATCTTCTCAGGCCTAAGCGGTATGTTTCTCAGCATTCACAGGTACCAAAAAAACTATCTGTTGCTCCATCGCACCTTCAACTGACAGCTGAAATACCATTGAAACCATTAAAAACAAAAAAAAACAAAATATCTTTTTTTTTCTTCTGACTCGATACCGAAATTCTAGATCTTACTACTTCGAAAAGCCTATAAAATTTTAACATTTTTTCAACGACAGATGAAGAATATTAGATGAAATAGCATGAGGACCGTTTAAATATGAATAATGTCACAGCCCTTGCACAAGAACTCACTGAATCCTTCACATATCATTTTCTTGTAGATCTTCCACAACCTTCTTCTCGTAATACTCAACAAATTTCTCTTGAAGAGAACTGCAATTGTAGCAAAATAGCAGATGAGAAAGGTACTAACTTGGACAACCTAATAGATGATTAAAACTGTCCGATAACCTGGGAACTTTCATTTACTTCTTTTCCTCTTTATTCAGTAATTTTAGATTTTGTTCAAATTATATAACGGCTGTCCTGGTTCTTTTTACACGTGATTTGGACGATGAAACGGTTTAAAGCGCTGAGTATGTTTTTGTATGTTTCGCGTGGTCACAAAGTGATTCGGAATATAATATTTTATTGTAATATCAGTTTACAATGTAGTAATTAATATTTCTGTTCATACAATCGCAGGTGAAACACTGGGTAATTGGTGCCTGAAAATATAACAGTGTTTTCAGTATTTACACCGAAGAAAAAATGAGCGCTATGTATAAATTAAGCAATATTTAAAAATAGAATAATGACTAGAAATGCAACATTATACATAAATTTAATAGTATTTACAAATATGTCATCCTTGCAGATACCTAATCTTCGCCATCAGTGGATGAAGCGTCGAACCCGCTACGACCGCCTAGCTGGCTTCTCATTTCTACGGAAGTCGCATGTTCGGAAGGTCGGACGCCGCGCGTTTACATAGAACTCCACGAGTTTGCACTACTCCACCCACTTGTGCGGAACGTGTGCGGCAACTTCAGCTCAGCTTCTGAAATGAAGTACTTTCAGTGGTTTCTTCTCCCATCGTTTTCTGCGTAAGAAAATGCGGTATGTGGTATAACCTACTCAAAGCGTCAGGTCCAGATACGCTTCCTTCGCGACATCGTGTTTCAACCACCTCGAAACGGGTTTGGTCGCGAATAACTGACAGTGGGAGGGGTAATCGCTGTATCTCAGCCCGGTGTTCTCCACAGTTTTGTCGACTTTATACATCTGGAACTCCTGTTCTTTCTCAGCGAAGTGACGGTGGATGGCCTTCAGGAACAACTTCTTCGCTCCGAAGCTCATGTCCCGGTGATAATCGCCATCTCTGTCCTCGTGCCAACATCTTCGACTCTTTTTCACCAAACCTTCTGCAGTTAAGCAAGACTGGCCCAGCCATATTTCTTCGGTGTAGGCGGCAAACTTCCCGTCATGCCCGCATTGCCGAATCCGTTTAACGTATCGGGTACGTAGGCAGTAAAAGCGGTTCGATTCCATCAACACAGAGTGCGATGGACCAGTTAGTATCTAAATTGTACGCATTGTTTTATATCAATTTTGATGTTTCATACTAATCACGTAACTTAATAAGATATCGGCGATACCTGTAACCGAGTCCCAGTAAGAGCTTTCTGAGTCCCGTCTTCAGTTGTGAGCCCTCTCTCAACAGCTACAGACGTACAGGCGCTACTGAGATAATTCACGACACTGCGGATGTTGGTATGGGCTGCATGGGCTATGAGGTTGAATGTGACTGCATACTCCTCTTAAACTTCTCTCCGTGACAACGGCTTCTTTGGAAAAACAGATAAACCTAAATGAAACCTTAAGTTGGAGGAGGTTACAAACCAAGTCCACTCAACCTGCAATTCCAGACGTCGTAGATTGCAGCCATAATTGCGGCCATAATAACAACAATAGGCCGTACCTTGCCGTGCAGCTTCGTCCTGACGGTCTTCCTCGCATCTCATGGAGGACCGTCTCACGCTGTCTATTTCTTTGAGAAAATTGGCCACCGGCAATTTTGGCTAGTACGTCCCGTTCCACCCTGCAACACCGCGTGTGTCATTTAATTACTGCTTTAGTTACTACTTTTCATGTTCACCGTTACTTGTCATGATGCTCACCATATGGCACGGCCGCTGCAGCGACTCCGTAACAGTCTGGCAGCCGAATTTGCGAGTGGTAGTGGTCTAGGTCACGCCACGCTGACACGCCGCATCCTGCTGAACTGTAAATTTTCGGCAGCCGCTCTTTGTCCACTTTCTCTGCGACTGTCTCCTGATTTGCCTCAATTGCCTCCCTATTTTTACCATGAGGAGCAATCGGTCCTGGTTGACAAAAGGCATAGCTTATCTGAAACGAAACAAATATTTGTTACTGTTTTATGAGAGATGTTTTTCATTACTGCAGCAGTCGTTTTAAACTTCCTAGTATACTAAAAACGCTTTGAAACTTCTACTTGCTCCAGTAACGTTTCTGGATATTTCACTAGTTTAGTAATTTTCTTCAAATCCCTATCCGCTCCACTAAAACTTCCGTATTAACCACTAGTTTAAGAATATTTTCTCATTTTTTTATTCACTTCAGTATCATTTCCATATTTTTCACTAGTTCACAAATATTTGCAAACTTCTACTTCAGTCATTTCTACATTATTCACTATCTCTGAAAACTCACTCTCTACGGAAAGTACGCTATATTTTCTGTGACACGTTCTCTAACTCTGCCTTACGTACATTACTGCATTAAAAAAAGCGACTTCGTTATTAGCATTAGGCAACTTCATTACAGTACCACAGTAACTATTTCCACATCAAAAAAAAAAAAAACAAGAATACTTTCATAAAGTTGGCTAATACTACGTCATTCCTTTATTAAAACTTTGAGGTGAAAAAATTGCCTAATAAATATATTTCCTTTTCTCGCTTTTTTTCCTTTCCGTTCGCAAAAAATTACTTCTACATTAACATTTTTTAAGTTTTTTTCAGTGATTAAAAAGTCAGGTTTTTTTACTTATTTCACTGAAAATGTTTTTTTTCCATGTAGTTGCGCGGCAACCCCTATTTTTTTTAAAAGCATTTATTATCTACGATACAACGCGATTACAATTTACAAAAACAAAAAAATTAACAAATTTCCTTGGATATCAACAAAATTGCAACAGTAAATAAGCTAAAAGATAGCTGTTAAAAATAAATGTCCTCTCAAATTTTTGCTTTTTTTCGACCTTATCCGTCCCCCATACGCTATATGCAAAAAGTCAAAGGTAGTCTCAAGTTTTTGCTTGAAAAAGAACCATTCTCCTTCCAAAAACATCCGAAGGAAAAATTCAACATTGGGAGTATTGCTGTCTTTTTTTTATCCGCCATTCCTTTTTCACTACTTATTATTTTTCCACTATTATTTTTAAATATTTTCTTATTTATTAGTAAATGAGATTTTTTTATACTGCCACTTTAAAAAAGCCTATCTTTCTCACAGTGGTCTAAACCCCACATTTTCTTCACACATTTTATAACTCTTAACTACGTAGTATCCTACAGTAAGAAAACTGAAAACTGTTTCCGCGCAACCAACTGAGTTATTAGAATAATTAAGGTCAAAGGTAATGTGTAAAGAACAAAAACGCTTTCACATTTGTGCTAAAATCTCGGCAAAAAGGAGGTCAAAAAGTAAGTAGTCCCGAAGACAAACAGGTCAAAACAGAGGAATAGTTTACTTCAATTTAAAGACGAAGAGGATAGATTCAATAGGAATAGATAAAGTAAACTTCGATTAAATTAAATGAGAATAGAACTTAAGAAAAAGCTGACATGAATATATATAAAGTATAGTTTTAAAAGAAATCAAATGATAAAAAAGGGAATACTTTTATGAAAATAAGTAAAGTGACCTTGAAATTGAAGGAAAAACTAAGAAATAAAAGATGAATAATACAAACAGTCAGTAGAAATGAAACATTATTTTCAAGAAATGCAGCTTGTAAGTTTTAAAAAGAGGCTTAATAAGCTAATAGTGCAATAATTCGATAGTAATAACCCTTTGAAAGGAAATAATATGATATAAAACTATTTCAAAGAGGGTGAAACTGTAAATTCAAATTTATGGTTATAAAGTAAGACCAACTCATCCAATAATTAATAAGAAGAATAATATAAAATTTCCCTTTCCTAAGGTTTTATATTCTGTCGTTTTGTCGGAGAAGGAAAAGGTCTGTATTATCCTAATAAAGTTTACATAAAGGGAAAGGGGAGCAGTAACTCGAAATTTTTCTTGTTTTGGCAGGTATCCCTTTCCTTACATTTAATTACGATCAGTTTTTAAAAAATGTTTGAAAATATTAAAAATTTTATACTTAATCGCACGTTACTGTGGTGTTAACTACAACAGATTTGCTGATTATAAATACAAAGCGGATAGTCACTGTCTGCAAGACATTTTTAAGTCGGAGATCTTGGAAGAGCTAAGAATGGAATTAGAAGTACGCAGTCTTTCGTCAACTTTTCACTTCATACCACATAATTTATAAGACATGGACTGCCTTTAATAGTGAGTGCTTTCTTATAATTTAACCGCTTTACTCTCAAGTCACCCTCGTATTTATAATCAGTAAATCTTTCAAACACAGGTTCGCATCCAGTAACTACACCCAGCGATGAAATAATGAAACGATATTGGAGACAATAGATTAAAATGAGACCAACTTTAAGATTTATAGGAAGGGTTTTGAACTACCAATTGAGCACGAAGTCAAGAATACGAAAAAATAAGAAATTGAACAGTGCAAACAAAAAATTTGCGGAATAAAATTTAGAGCTGAAGTACTTCTCACCGACGACAATCTGAATATTAATCTTCGTCGAGAGCTCCTACTTAAGGAGCAACAGTGACCTACAGTTTCCCTACAGTGCTCTTCGCCGGCGGTCGCGAAATTCCAGAGGGCAGGGAGTAGACCAAGAAGCTTCGGCTGAGTGAGATCAAGGGCTATGTCAGAACAAAGGGGACAGATATATGGATAAATTTAGTAGAGAATATGATGGATAACAAAAATATGGAAAGGAATATAACAACTAACAAAAATAATATAAGAAAAGTAGAATAATGACGTAAAAGTCGTAGTGTCATATCGTCTTATATAAAAAAGTGGATTTCAATATGTATATTGGTCAAGGTCAACACAGTTCAATTGTATAATCTTAGAGAAGATTTGTTCCATCATAATGTTGCGTTATTATATCTAAAAGTTAAGTAATCAGACCATATCAACAGCATATCAGCAACAGCAACAACGTTAACAGTAACAAAAGTGGCGTCTATTACGAATTTTTTAGTGCATCAGTGCTCCGATAAATAGAGCCAGAATGGACATTGTCTATTTGTTATTTATTATAAAAAGCACTACAGTAATAACGCTATTATACAGCAGTTGTATATAGAATAAAGCGATTATATAAGCCCAAATATACAGATGTGTCGCCGCGAATTGAAAAAAATAAACATACAGTGTGTGAATAGAACGGATACACATAGTACAGTTCTTAAGGCTTGAAGAATAACTGTTATGTTTCTGTGGCCTATCTGTTTTACGATAGCGGTTACAGCATCTAAAAATGATCCTGTTAATTTTGCTCTATTATGGCCGGGATTTAATCTACGTTTCTTTAATATAGATCTAAGCAATCAACAAATTATCTCTTTGTAGTTGTTGTTTACTTTTGTTTTCTCATTATTTTAGACATGTAGTAAACAAAGTGAAATTTTTCTAACAAATATATTTGAACATGTGGTGTACAGTTTTTTATTGTTACTCTTTAATGACTGATTTAAAATTGTGCATTTCTTTTTTACTTCTTATAAAAGAATGTTTGAAATAATGTAGCAAAAATAAAAATTTGGTGATTTATTTATTTTTTAATGTTTTTTTTTTTTTTGGTACAAAATCAAAAAATAAAAAAGTTTACTTGACATTAACATAACGGATCCAATAAAATAAGACATTTTTACGCTAAGTTTTCTTTCCTTATCCTAAAAAAAACTTCAACAGTTTATAGCACAATACTGGGTAACTTCTTTATCGTAATGTTTTCATTCAATTTTAGTAATACCATCAAAAATATCAAAGTGCCGAATGATCTGTTTGGAGTGTCCATTTCGGAATTACCTGCGATCATTACAGCCCTTCAAAGTGTAAAGCTATTTAACCATGATAGTCCGTCTGGGAATCAATGTAAGCTTTTTTTTTCTTTTGAATTACTGATCGTTTCTTTGTGCAAGTCCATGTTTTGTGCATTTCTCAAAGACTTTTTGCCTGTCTAGGACATTCATTGCATGAGCGGCCAAATCCGTTAGAACACTGCGGGAATAAAGTGTTCAAATACGTCAATGTGATTAGAAGGTGTATGGTCATTTAAGTCTAACCCGTTTGTAGTTCTTATGTCTAATTCAGCTATGAGTAATGTAGCGATTTCTTGCGATTGAGGCTTTTAACAGGTTTTTACATGGAACTGAACGGCTGACATAAACATTCAAATTCTGTGAAAAAAACCGTTATATTGCTCATGAATGAATGAAATATGGAAATTCCTACAGCTGATAATTTATTCCTAAAGCATTTTAGTGACCGTCGACTGATTCTTGAACAAAAGGAAAGACTTTTGGAACTACAGCAGGCCCGTCCAAACAATCCAGACGAATGCAAAAAATCGACTTGTAATTTAGCAGTCCATTCTTAGACCATTTAAATAGCTATGGACATCGTTTCAGAATGAACGTTATGAGTACGCGAGAACCACGACCGTGCCATGCTTAGTGTTCAAAAAGCTGATATTTTTTAGCAGACGCATATTTTGCGTCAGCGAGTTCTTCTAGGGTACCCTGGAAATGACATTTCGTTCCTGTGGCTACAACTTCATAAATTAAGGATGAAGCAAATGTAAATTTGGAGGAAGGTTTACGTCAAAACTGGGGAAATTGAGTCCTGAAACGAAAGTTTTCATTAGGTATGTCGAAAACAGCAAAATCGCTTTACTAAAATTTGCCGTGTTGCGATTGGTGTTAGCAGTGGGATGGGTTATGGCTGTGTCGTATGTATTAAATTTCAGAGAAACGAGGACTTGCATAAGTTTTATGAAATTATGGAACTTAATAGAGCTGCTGTCTGTACGTAATTATGAGAGGAATGACGTTTTCTTGTCTTTTTTCTTTTTAATTTCTTTTCGCTTATTGGATAAATATGAGTTAACTTTCTCTCCAGTTGCTTGGAAGGTGGTTTCCAGAGTTGTTATCTGTTGGTTTCCATGCTCAGTGTATTATGATAACGGTGGACAGGATATGACTTTAAACAGTCTGTTTTTTACGACTCTTTCAGCAGTCATGAAGCGATGTAAATCAATATAGATTTACCTTTTATCATCAGGAGTTATGTTGCGAAAACTTGGCTTATCTTCCTCTGGAATATGGAAGCCGAAAAATCCCCATTCTCTTGAATATTTAAAGTATGTTGTCACTTTTTGTTTACCGTGGCGTACAGGTGTAGTTTAAGCTTAGTTCATATATCAATATAAATCTCGTTGATAGCACCTTTAAATTACTTCTTTATTGTTTCCTTTAGGAATTATTTTGGGAGCCATTTATACAAAAATTGGTTTTTTTTTTTTCTTTCAATTAGTTTACAACTTTTTGCTTATGTAATCAGTTTTTATTTGCAAATTTCTCTTTTTAGCTAAGTATACGAAATCAAGCAGCATCAGTAAAATACAACATCGTGTTTTAGACGGAATGTTTTACTTTTCTACTTTTCTTACAGATATCTTTGTGGGATTCTTGAAAAGAACCGAACTGTTGTGGAGAGCAACAAAACTCTTTTAGTGGAAGCTTTAAGAGCTACGGCAGAAATACTTATTTGGGGAGATCAAAACGATGCTTCTGTTTTTGAGTAATTTCTTTAATCTTTTTTTGCTTAACTTTCTTTGTTTATTTGTTTGTGGGATCACAATTCTGGCTTTTCTTGGCTTACACCTGACTAAACTTTTGTGGGCTGAGGACGATGAGTAACGGAGCACCATTTATATAATTTAATTTTCCACCTTTTCGTACCTCTTCTCTATATGGCAGAAGAGCATCTGTTCTTAATTTCAAAAACATTGAGTATTTCTAGTTTCTTTCTGGAAAGGCAGGTCCTCTCGCATTTTTTGAGTATTATGGAGCAGAAATGTGGATCGTATGTTATTGTGCAGCTTCTACAGACATTGAATATACTGTTTGAGAATATTAAGCATGATACCTCGTTATGTGAGTTTACATGGAGATTTCGACATGTTATTTTTATTTCGCTAAGAACTTCTCTGAAGCTCACCTAGTCTTTGAAAGTTGGAAACTTTGTAGTACAAAACACTGGCTACTCATTCTTTTCCGTTTAAAGGTGAGGTTTAATTTACATTGCAGATTTCTTGTTGAGTAACAATCACGTAAACTCTATAATAACTCATGAGTTTAACTTCAGTAATGAAGAAATAATGGCGTATTATATATCGTTTCTCAAAACC